GACAGACAGACACACACACACACACACACACACACACACACACTTATATATGTTGTGGTGGGGAGGGGCAATAGGAGACATGGTGGGAGGCAGAGGGCAGGCCACACACAGGAAACATTTGCATCTCTCCCACGCTCCAGCCTTCTGCTTACTTCCCCAGTTACTGGTCATGGAACCTTGGGTGGCTCTGGACTCTGGCTGGCGCTGCTGGATGTCAGGTTGGCCTCTAATAAAGCTCATTTCATCCAGGATTTGATCTTGGATGAGAGGGCTGACCTGGTATATATTTTTGAGACCTGGATTGCTGAAGAAGGGGAGTGCCCCTCTCTGAAATGTACCCAGAGGGGTTTCAGGTCTGGCACTGTTAGAAAGAAGTTATTATAAAGCTAAACTAATGCCATTTTAGAAGGAGTTTAGTGCTTTGTCATTATACAAAAGCAAGAGAGTCACATAGGCAGATAAGGAAGGAATGAGGAAAATCTGTTAACGTTCCTGGCAACAGAGATAAAGCGTACCAATTAGAACAGTGAGAAATCAGGCTATGCCTTATGAGGAAAATAAAACTTGAGGATTTTAGAATTAGGCATGTGCAAACTGGTTGTTTATACCTGACTATATAAGTAGTCCTCGCTTAAAGACCACAATTGGGACCCTCAACTCTGTTGCTAAGCGACATGGCCATATGATGTCTCGACATGGCGAGACATCACATGACAGCAATGGACTTATGAGCTCACTTCCACTATGGTCATTAAGCAAATCACCTGCGGTCATTAAGCAAGACATCACATGACTGCAACTTACAGTTTTACTGCTGGCTTCTCCATTGACTCGGCTTATCGGAAGCTGGCTGTGAAGCGCGCAAATAGTGATTACATGACCACTGTAATGGTTGTAAATAGCTGCTGGTTGCAAAGTGCCTAAACTTTAATCATGAGACCATGGGGACACTGTGATGGTCGTAAATGCAAGGACCGGTTGTTAAGTTGCTTTTTCAACAACATCACAACTTTGAATGGTTGCTGAACAGGGCAGTCATTAAGCAAGGACTGCCTGTAAAAGGATGTTGCACTCCTTGCACGGGGCCCCAGCTGCCCTCAGTGCTCCTGCCTTGTGTGCTAAATAAACTTTTGAACTCTGAATTATGGCATCTGGCATTTTGACTTGCGCAAGGAATGAACCATAGGGAAGAAATTCTTCCAACAGCACCAACTGTGATGCCAGGCCCAGGGCGGGTGGGGGTGTTTGCTATTGTCTATTAGGAGAATCCATAGATTGACAGGGGTGCTTCCCTGCAAATAGCCAAGTTCTCAACTACTTGTGAGGTTGGGCCTGAAGGATCAGTTGTCAGTTCTGCTGCTTTACCAGCCCCCTGCTGCATACCAGTCTCACTTCCTGCTATGCTCAAGGCTGCCTCTGAGCTGATGCTGAAGTTGAGAAGAGTTATGGTTCTGGGGGACTTCAATCTGCCATCCTTGGTGGGGGGACTCAGAGGCCGTGTGGGAGTTCATGGCCACCATGACAATCATGGACCTGACCCAGCTTATTATGTGTCTGATCAATGGGGGGGAGGCACACATTGGACCTGGCTTTTGTCTCAGGGCAGTGGCCGTGTGATCTGGAGTTGGGGGATGCTGCCATCTGTCCTTTGTCAGGGACAGATCACTACCTGCTGACTCTGGAGTTTACTGTATCACCCCCCTCCGCAGGGAGGCAGGTCCTATTTGAATAGCCCGCCCCAGGCACCTAATGGACTGCATCAGGTTTCAGAAGGAGCTTGGGGTTTTTCCTGGGGTCTCAATACATGATTTGACTAAGGCCTCAGCTGCTGTGTGGAATGAGGCAGTGGCAGCAGCTTTAAATCGGATTGTGCCTGTGCAGAATTACTTTGTGCGCAGACCTCCCTGGTTTTCAGAGGGTGGTAGGGGGATGAAGCAATGGAAGAGATAGAGTAGGTAGAGTGCTGCTGGTAGAAAAGTAGGAGCAAATCCGACCAGACACAGTTGAAAACTTTTGTTAGAGCCTACCTTGTGGATAAGGATGGTGAAAAAGGCTTATTTCTCTGCCCATATTGCATCCTCCAAGTGTCAGCCAGTGGTCCATTCTGAGTCATGAGGGATTGATGGAACATCTTCAGGGTCACTGTGAGGATTATTCTCAACACCTGGTAGATAGAATTGTTTGGATTTGCTCTGAGTTGGACTCTATCTGGTCAGGTCCTATGGAGGTGACTGAGGCACAGTCTTGTGATGTTATCTGGGATGAGTTGAAGCCAGTTAATCCTGAGGAACTGAGTAGGGTCCATGCCCCTCCTGGCTTGTCAAAGCCTCCAGCATGGGAGTACGTGGGTGGTTCTGTACAGTGGTAAATATTTCTTTGCAGGCTGCCTTCTCCCAAGAACATCTGCCCACCCCCCATACTCCCATAGGGAGGGCATGCCCCAGGTTCCATCTTTTAAACTTTGCCATCTTATGGGACCTAAGTGTGTCTTTTTGGTGGCTGCCCCATTCTCTGGTACAATCTCCCCTCCCAATATACAACAGGCCCCAACTTTGCTCAGCTTTAGAAAAGTCATTAAGACCTGGCTTTTTCCCCATATGTTTGGGTCTAACTTGAGCGGAGTCCCCTTTTGATTATTTTGATTATTGTATTTGGTTGCCATTTTATATTTTGTATTTTATTTATTGTATATGTTTTAATGTTGTGTGGTTCTTATGGTTTATTGTTTGTTGCTGTTATTGTATGCTACCCAGAGTCACACTGTTTCAGCTGGGCAGCCCTATAAAATAAATAAATAAATAAATAGACTTAATTTTAAAAAATGTTAGAAAAATTGCTAAATGGTTAGTGAACAAAGGGTGGGGCTGCTTAAGTTTTTAAATGTACAAGATAATTGAAGGTCTTCTACATAGGTATCCATTCTTAACCATAATGATACCAAAGTGAAGAAATGTGTTTTATGACTTCGTGTAGCGGGCATAGGGAATGGCCTTGAAAGACAGGAGAAAGAGCCACTACCAAGGCAATGGTCAGATAAAAAGAGTTTGAGCCCAGGCCAAGAAAATAGCTTGAGAAAACATCTCAGGCAAGCCGCTCCCTAGTTTAGACAAAGATTAAAGTGAGGGAGGGGGAAGTGCATTCAGACTTGCAAGATTCTGGTACTAGAGCTGTTATAGGTAGTCCTCACTTAACGACCATTCGTTCAGCGACCATTTGAAGTTTTGACATCGCTGAACAAATGGTAGTTATGACCAGTCCTTGAAGTTACAGCCATTGCAGCACCCCTGCAGTCACATGATCAAAATTTGGGCACTTGGTAGCCGCCTGCATTTACAACAGCAACATGCACTTCAACTCCCCCCAACCTATCTCCCCCACCTCTGCCCTTTTGGCCACCATGCATTCCGCTGCTGCCTATCCCTGTCCCCCTCTGGTTCCCCCAGCTGACCTTCGCCATCTTCTTCCTCCCACTGCTGACAGACTTTGGACAGAGCCAGCAGCTGCCTTGGCCAGGTGCTCCTCGTCAGCAGCAGGAGGAAGAAGATAGGAAGGTCAGCTGGGGGTGGCGGGGGCAGCAGGGGTAGGCGGTGGAGTGCAAAGTGGTCAAAAGAGCAGAGATGGGGAGATAGGTGGGGGAGTTGAAGCGGAGGCAAGTACGTCAGGGCAGGAGAAGCGTGAGGCCCTCGCCTAACAACGGCACAGTCCTGACCTAATGACTGCAACTGGGACTACCAGAATTGCTGTCACTAATCAGTGCAGTCATGTGATGTTTTGCCTAATGACCACTTTGCTTAGCAATGGAAATTCTGGTCCCAATTAGGGTCATTAAGTGAGGACTACCTGTACGATAAAAGTAGTCCTGACCTACTGTATATGGCATTGGTTTCTTAATCTGGTCTACCTTGTTGGGCTGACACTTCATGACACAAGCTCCATCCTGCCACACTTGCATTTGATGTCATCCACAAGTAGATAAGGGGCGGAATTCATATTGCAACATGTGTTATCAGTTACACACACACACAAATACACACACACTTCATTTGTGGATGGCTATGGTTTTTGGTCTTCTTTCATTTATGTATAAAAATGCCACATGCTGCTGTGTGGTTCTGGGGTCATCCCAGTAATGCTAGAAAAGATGAGGACACTTGGCAAAGAGCACCTGGGATATTTTACAGCTAAATAATAGAAGATGGAAGATGCTCAAGCAACAAATGCATGTAAAACAGTAAAGGCCCTATGCCCCTTTGTGGATTTGTTTAATGGGAAAAATTAATATTAGCCTTGGATTTCATAGCTAGTAACATCTGTTCTATAATGGATCTGCTAGT